GTGACACGGGCGGTGTGTGACACGGGCGGTGTGTGACACGCGTGGTGCCCCGCGGTGTGTCACACGGACGGTGTGTGACACGGCCGTGCCTGGCACTGTGTGACATGGACTGAGCTGCTGGCACATGTGCTCGTGTTCACAGGGGTCCCTGGACGAGGGAAGAGATGAGAATCTTGAGTCCATGTTTCAGAAGGCTGATTTATTATTTTATGATATATATGACATTAAAATAAAATTATATATTAAAACTATACTAAAAAAACAGAATAAAGGATTTAATCAGAAGGCTAGCAAGGAAAAGAAAGGAAAGGAATGATAATAAAACCTTGTGACTGCTCACAGCCTTGACACAGGTGGCTGTCGTTGGTCATCAAGTAAAAACAATTCACATGCTGGGTAAACAATTCTCCAAATTACATTCCAAAGCAGCAAAACATGGAGAAGCTGGAACTTCCCAGCTGGTGTTACCGGGCCAGGAGAGCACGAGTCAGAGGCTGTGTGCCAGGGCCAGGTGTGCCAGGGCCAGGTGCTCCTTGCACACCTGGGAACAGCAGGGTGTGTGATCAGCTCGGGGGCTCAGCCCAGCTGCAGCTCACCAACCTGAGCCCCAATGATCATTTCTGAGATCACACTGTAGGCTTGTTTGTGGTTAAATCTTCACCTTCTTCCCAAATGAATTCTGATCCCAAGGTCCCTCTGTGGTTTTCTGGGTGATGAACACTGTCCCAGGCTGATGTTGAAAACTGTTTCATTTTTCTCCTGTAACCCTTTGCCTCTGCTCCCCACCTTAGGACAGCAGTGATGACATTGAGGATGTGTCTCTCTTTGATGCAGATGATGATGCATCCAGGAGATCCAAAAAGTCAAAAATAAGGTTGGTGGTGACAGAGGGAGTTTCTGGAATGTCTCTGCCTTGTGTCAGCTCCCAGGCAGTTATTTCCCATATTTCCAGAACACTGGGTTCATGTTACAATGCTGACCTGTACCCTGGCAATGTCACTTGTCTGCAGGAGCTGTGACTGTCCTGTCCTTCATTCCAGGCACCCAGTGGCATCATTTTTCCACCTGTTCTTCCGAGTCAGTGCCATCGTTGTTTACCTGCTCTGTGAGCTCCTAACCAGCAGCTTCATTGCCTGCATGGTGACCATCATCCTCCTCCTGTCCTGTGACTTCTGGGCTGTAAAGGTGAGTTCTCCTTGTGCTTTTTGTTGTCTTTGGCTTGCTGTGTAAAAATAACTGACAGCGATGCTCATGTCTCAGAAAAGTCATTTATTTGTGCCTCTCCCACAAAATGATACCTCAAAATACTCCTAAGTGCTAGGGGGATTGCAGAGCTTTATGAAATAAACTCTGACATCTCTGTGCACTTGGCTCCTTTGGAAGGTCCAGTGTAGAGCATTTGTTAGGCTCCCTTTTGAGGCAGCACAGGCTTTGTTACCAGCTCGGGAGCACCACAGATCTGCTGGATCTCTGAGGAATGGCTTGCTGTGGCTCTCATTCTCCCAGTGTGAGGCAGACAGGCACTGTGGAAAGCAGCAGCCCGGCCCTGAGCTGTGGCAGGAGGGTTCTTTGGCAGAGCACCCAGAGCTCACAGGTTCTGCTCTCTTCCAGAACGTCACAGGGCGGCTCATGGTTGGCCTTCGCTGGTGGAACCAGGTGGATGATGATGGCAGGAGCCACTGGGTGTTTGAGGCCAGGAAGGTTGGTGATTGGGCTCTGACCGTGTACTCCTGTCTGCTTTATGAACCCCTGGTATTGGGTGGTGCTGCTGGAGAGGGGAGATTGCACAGGGAACTTCTGCTGGCAGCCACAGATCTGTGCAGGCTGCTTTGGGGGGAATGAGCTTTTTCATTGTTGGGTTATTAAAAAGTTCTCATGATGTACTGATTTGGTTTAATATAAGTACTGTAAGTCTGTGGGCTTGGAGGTAGGAAATGACTCCTTTGGCTGTTTCTAAGCTTTGTAACTGAACCTTGCAGGAAATGTCATTTTTCCCGAATTACCCTTCTAGCCCCGAGCATTCCAAGAGGTTTTGATGCTGCTGCCTCCAGTGATTCTGAGAGAAAACTGAAAAGATTCCCTTAAGTAGAAACACTTCCTATTGTAGAGATGTCTTTGTGTGATGTGGAAATCAGTCCTGGAAGCACCCAGTGCTGCTGTGTGGAGGGAAATCCCAGGGAGTGTGGGGATTCTGCTCTGATTTTAAGGACATGGGGATCTGTAGGGTGGAGCAGCCTGGTCACTGCCATTTCCTTTCTGTTTCAGGTACCAGCACAAGGGGGTAAGACCTCATCTGAAGCAGAGTCCCGAATTTTCTGGCTAGGCCTGATCACCTGCCCCATGATCTGGGTGATCTTTGCCTTCAGTGCTCTCTTCTCCTTCAAAGTGAAGTGGTTGGTGAGTGCCCCTGAGCTGCACGCTGGCTCTGCCCTGTCTGAGCCAGGAGCTGCAGCTGCTGATGCTTTTCCTGTCACAGGCAGTGGTGGTGATGGGGGTGGTGCTGCAGGGAGCCAACCTCTATGGCTACATCAGGTGTAAAGTTGGCAGCAGGAAGAACCTGACCAGCATGGCCACCAGCTACCTGGGGAAGCAGTTCCTGCGGCAGGTGAGGCCCCCAGGGCTCTGGGATCCCTGGGGAAAGCACGAGGGGCTCGTTGGTGTTCTGAGCTGTGCATTGGGACCCTGCCCACGCTGCTGCTGGGGAGCCTGAGCCCCGTTAATTAAGGCTCAGAGCACTGCTAATTGCTGTCACCCTGTGCTGGGGTATTGGCTGGTGCCATGGGTCCATGCCATGGGAGTTACTGGAGTGTGACTGCTGTGCTGGGAGTAACACCAGGCTGAAAGGGCTGCCCCTGCCCTCTGTGCTCTCTCCCACCCCCACCCAGCTCTTCAGCAGCTCCTGGTTTCCCCCAGCTCTCGGTTTGCTCCTTGCAGGAAAGAGAACAAATGTTCCAGCAGGAACAGCCACTCCAGTTCACCCCACTGCTGCCTTTTCTGGCTGTGTTGATGACTCTGGCAGAGGTGTTTTGGCTGCCACAGGGTCACAGATATTTGCTGTATTTGCTGCCATCAGTGTGGTCAGAAGCTCAAACACTGATGACCTCTCTTGGCACTCTGTGCTGGGCCCATCCCCTTCTTGGTTTCTCCTGAATTCCTGTGCCCTGGCAGGGCTTACCCAGGACCCAGGCCAGTCTCAGGCTCTGGCAGAAATGAATGTTTTGCCCCAAAATCCCAGCAGTGGCTCACAGAGTTCTCCAGCCCTCTTTGATCTTGCCTCCTGCAGACCATGGCTACAGAGGACCAGGCAGCATCCTGAGTGTGGTGGGAGCCTCCAGCCAGGCTGCATTCCCAGCAGTGACCAGCAGAGAAGGTGCTCTGACCAATTTGGGAGCTGCACACAAGGTGTGAATCAAAAGAAGTAAATAAATTGTGCAAGACTTGAGGTTAACACTCCTGGCAACTTATATTCCCTTTTCCACTAGCAGTTTGTGTTTAGGTCTTCTCTTTAGTTTGATTAACAAGAATTAATTTGCTTAAACTTTAAATCAAAAGATAACCTGAGTGGGTTTCGTAGAGGTTTAGAGCTACTGGATGAT